GTTCAGATGTGGACGTGAATGGCTAGACGAAGAAGAAGAAGAAGAAGAATCTATAACGGTGAGCATTTTTTGTTTATCAAAAAAGAACAGATCTACAGATAAAGCCTCAAATGGTTTCTCCGAAGAATACCTTACATTTAAACCTTGAGTACGATTCCTACGATCAAATTTTGAGAGTTGACAAGTAGGGCATAAAGTAATAAATTCGGTTATTTCTCTATATATATTTTTCCATTTATAAATTTGTCTGCTGTTTCATTAATTCCTTTATGATAATTACTTGGGTCGTTGGGATATTCGAAAATTATCCTTTGTCTATCTTCTACAGGTGGCAGAGTAACGATTTTTTTTACAAATTATAAAGTTAATGTCTGGATAAAGGAAACTGAGCATTTTATAATAAATATTGCTTTCAAAATAAGGTATGCAATAAGTTTCATTTCGAACTAATACTAGTTTTTTCAAAGTATTAAAATGCTCAAGGCAACGGTGTGGCTTAATTTGAATTAACGAACTAGGATTTAAAGAGCGAAGCATTTGACACAAAGGTTCTTTTATGTCCGTAATAGCGGTCAGAATTGCAGTCTTACTGTGAAAATTATATAAACATTTTTTCTCAACATTGTTCAAATTTGAATCGTAGTTGATAACTTATTTGATTCTTATTAATTGTTTTTCAGTTCTATCAACGAAATTTACAGGTTTTTCATTAGAACGTTGCTTAAAGTGGCATAACTCAAAATTTAGACACTGCAAATCCAAATTTTCACCAAACTGAGAAAGGATTGCATTTTTTATCTCTTGCCATGTAGAAAATTATTTCGAGCCGATAAAATCAAGAGCATTCCCCTCTAACCTGCTTTTTACAATAAAAGGAAAAATTTGCAATTCCTTTGGGTAATTTTGAAGAAGACCCATCAAAAACATTTATAAGCTTGATTGCTTTGTCACATTAGAAGTGGTGGCGTAAATTATTGGCGTAGTTGCTTAAAAGTTTGAAAATAGCGAAACAGAGTAAATAAAAAGATAAAAACAAATACAAAATTAATATAAGTAATTCGACTAACCTCATGTAATACCGTGAGAACGTGGCTTCACACCGGAACGGGTCGAAATTGTTGCAGCGTCTCAAATCAAGTGGATTTACACTGGATCGGGTAGAAAACGGGTGGAGAACGTTGTACCTTCTGGATCAAGTGGCTTTACACTGGAACTGGTCGAAATTCTAAACTGTATGTAGTCGGTATGGTAGCCGAGATGTTGTTGCTTCTTCTATGGAAATGCTTCACCGTTTCCAGGATCGAGTGGCTTTTCACTGAAGCTGGTTGAGAAGATTTCACGAAGTTGCTAGTTGTGTCTCCCCAGAACTTCCTAATTACTTTGTGGATTTACACAACAAGTAGCCTTACACTTCGAATTCTTCGAAGTTGCTTACGGATTCCTTCAATTTTCCTTCCTCGTTGCCTTACACTCGAAACTCAAATACTAAGTCACTAATTCTCCAATTTCCCAATTAACGATCAAAATCGATTAAAAAAAGGCTTTGCTTTTTCTAATTGGAAATTCTACTGACTGCGCTACTTTTATTCTTATTGATATAAAAATACACACAGTGGCGTGCTCGCCATAACATTTTTACCCTGGGAATATAATATTCTGACTGTTTTGTATGTTTATTGTGTTTATATTTGTATAATCTATATCAGTGGATCTCAACCTTTTTGTGGCGACGGAACACTTTTAATTACCGAAAAAAATTGCGGAACACCAAAGCAATAACATGCATATATTGATAAACAAATTAGGATTAGCACATAAATTCTGTAATAAACTTTATTATACGTACTCAAATTTGTAAAATTTTACTTAAAATATGAAAACAAAAAACATTTTTAAAATTAACAAAAGCGTAATTCTCAAAATACATCATATAAGTAAATACTTCAAATTAGTGAGACACTTGTGCCTGGTGTCGTTTGCAAATTTGCTCAATATCAGGCCTGATGTGGGAAAGAGCTACTCTCATTTCTTGTTCTAAGTTTAGCAGCCTTTCCCGTTTCTTATTTTTAATGATTGTTAAAGATGAGAACCCAAATTCACATAAATAGGACGTTGAAAACTGTATTAAAATACTAATCGCTTTTTTGGCATGAAGTGGATATTCCTCTTGGACCATGATCCAAAATTCCTGAACATTCACTTCTGTTGTTGTTGTTTGTTTGTGTTTAAATGACTGCGGATACTAAATCCATTCGCCAATCTTACAATTTGAGGTGTAGTATGTGTGTGTGTGTGTGTGTGTGTGTGTGTGTGTGTGTGTGTGTGTGTGTGTGTGTGTGTAGAGTAATTGTCTTGATACTTAGCAAAGTCGACGTCATTGTCTTTGCTAAGAGACGCTAATTGTATCTGAACGTCTGCGGTCCCTCCGGTGTGTACCGATCACACAAGGATAGAAATTATTTTCATTTATTAATTTTTTAATAAACGAAAATTTCCACCCAGGTGGGATTCGAACTCACGACCTTTAGATTTAAAGGCAGGCGCTCTTACCACTGAGCCACAGAGGGGGTTCATTCACTTCTGAAAACTTAATTTTCAGAGTACGATCAGATGACAACGAAATAAATTCTTCTTCTTAGTTCAGAGAAAACTGGAAATTGGCTGTATTACTTGTGCTAAAAGGACTTCTTATCCAGTCATATTTTTCTACGTTCAGAGATGGAAAATACCTGGCAATTGTCTCCTCTAATAGTGATAAGTGTTCTGTAACTATATGCGTGATTTCTTGTTCTTTATCTTCATCACCTTCATTCTGAAGCAGTGGAAACATATCCATTTTATTTGTCTCTAAAATGCGCTTCTTCCAAAATGACAATTTTTTCTGGAAAGCTGACAGCTTGTCCGTGGATGTTAAAATATTTTCATTTTTGCCTTGCTCACTTGAGTTAACGCCATTTAAATAATTAAAAATATCGGCCAAATATGCCACATTTTCAAAATATGTGGTAAATGTGTCATTACCTTCTTCTTGGAAAAAAGTTAACAGCTCCGTTCTAAGTTCATAAATTCGACATAATACTTTGCCCCTTGACAACCATCTCACTTCGGTGTGCAGCAACAAACATGTATACTTTGATTCCATTGAGATGCAGAGTTGTTTAAAAAGACGGGTTTTTAGTGGTCTTGATTTGATGTAATTCACGACAATAACCACTTGGTCTAATACAGATTTCAAAGTAGCTGGTAGCGTTTTTGAAATTAGAGATTCTCTATGCAAGAAACAGTGCGTAGATATGATATTATCATTTCGCTTTTTTGCAAGGGTACAAAAACCTTTTATGGAGCCTACCATGGAAGGGGCACCATCCGTACAAATTCCTACGCAAAAGTCCCATGATATATTTTTTTTCTCTAAATATGACGTTATGGAATCAAATACATCCTGACCTGTTGTACGTGCTGTAAGTTCTCTGCAGCATAAAAACTGATTGACTATTTCACCTTCGTCGACAAATCGAATAAATCCTAATAAATGAGCTTTGCCACTAATATCAGTGGATTCGTCCACCTGCAATGCGAAGTTTTTTTGTAAAGTTTATTTGTAACTTTTTCCTCAATATCTGCAGATAAATCAACAATCCTCCTTCTTATTGTATAATCCGACATAGGAATTTTCCGTATTTCGTTTTGTGCATCGTTGCCAAACATAATTTTGACCATCTCACAACATGCTGGTAATATAAGAGATTCTGCAACAGTGTGTGGTTTCTGTTTCAAAGCAATTAATTCGGCGACCTTATATGAAGCTATTTGTGATTTGTCGGAAATTGTTAGCGACCTTTCAAATTGTTTCGCTTGTGTCTCCAAAAGTTGCTTGAAATAATCTTTATTTTTTGAAGCTACACTAGCGTGTTTGGTAGTAAAATGGCGTTTTAATTTAGCCGGAGCCATTGCGCTATTAGCGAGTGTCTGCCCACAAACAATACACTTGGGAATTGGACAGTCTTCTTCCCCAGTCCAAATGAAGCCATAATCCAAATATTCATCCAAATATTGCCGGTTCAACATTTTTGTGCTGCGCTTCGATTTGTCATCAAACCCATTCGTAAAGTTCCAGTTTCTCCGCTGGTGCTCGCTTCATCATCATTAATTATGAGTTGTTCCACAGTAGTTTTTCTTTTAAGTTTGAGGAACTTATCCATTTTAATTTATTCGTCTCTAAACAATATAATGCGGATGAATGCTTCACATTTTCTATAAAATATGCAATTACTTACCTTTGATAGATAAGCCGTACGTAAACGTTATCATAAAAAAACTGACACAGCGATTTTCACGTATTACGTTTGTGCAATGTAACAAATTCAACATTCAGTTGCAGACTGTGGCGTGGGTGACTCAGATTGGCTGTGGCCACTGCGGAGCTCAGCGCTCAGCGCTTATAAAATCCAACGTGTGCACTGTGCCGACGCGGTGTTGTCACGTTGGGCAAATGAACATATACGCTGCAGAATTTTATTAAATTAAAATGTACGTAAGTGGCTATTTTAAAATTTGAAAATATTTATTTGAAAAGAGTAATTTAGCAAAATGGTATGTAGGATTGCGAGTATTTCGCGGAACACTTGGAAGGAATTCGCGGAACACTAGTGTTCCGCGGAACACCGGTTGAGAACCACTGATCTATATCGTAATTGTGTTTATGTAACATAAGTTATGCAACGCAGATTTGTGTTTCTGTAATGTGTGTTGAATATGTATTGTGTATGGATAATGTTTTTTCGGCCTCCTATTAGTCCGCTATTGTTGGTAATATTTAAATTAGACATGCCATGAGAAAGTAGTTTCAGAACTTTCTATGTTTACTGCTATAAAAATGAAAATCAGTTAGAAAAAAATTAATGAATAAAATATAATGTTACAACAGATTATGTAGAATGTTTTTTTCAATGTAATTATATATTTTATAGAATCTCACATAACTTTCTTAATATTTTCAGTATTGCGTTGCAACAGTCGTAGGAGGTGTGAAGATGTCATGGGGAGGAGACAATGAACCTGCTGCCCAAGCGGTTTTGATGAGCATTGGGGCTTTGGGTGTTGATGAAAACAAAAAACATGCAAAAGTATTGTTCGAGTGTATTTCTAAATCTCTTGGAATTCCTGAGGATAGGTAAGAGTTTACATATATTTTTTAAAAATGACTAAATTTAGACAAAATATGGATCTACAAAAGATCTGATTATTATTCCTTGTAGAATTTCTTAGTACTTACCGATTTCTGTTGATTGATCTTTATTGTTTTGAACTTTGAACCAGAAACTCTCCTGACAAACGAAAACCGCAGATTTCTCAGATAATTTTAAGACGATTTAACCCAATTCACCTAGTCCGAAAATGCTTCCAAATGGAGCTAGAGCTCTTTAAAGGTCGATTCAAACACATAAGTCTCATCACAGTCCCGGCACCGAACCGGTCTTATCTGGTCACAGAAATATTCATTATCTGACTACTGGGAAACTGTTCAACTAATGAATGTGAATGCCGGCAGCATATTTCTATTAAATAATATTTTGTATGGCAGATTGTTCGGTCCGGCGCCGGGACTGTGACGAGACGTGACTGATTTGTTTGAATCGCCTTAAAGATGGCGCCTTGTGTTTTTTGTCATGAAAGTTAAATTAATATTTTGTGCACTAGTAGACTTTGAACTGTCAACGGAACTATAACCCACGGTTCGTAGACTTACTACGGTTGCCTATTCCGACTAACCAATGAACATTAAGCCCGAAACTGTACTCTCGTAACGTAATTTGAATCGTAACATTGTTAATCGTCGTTTTCATGTCTTTAATGTATAGAAAATAGTAAAGATAGTTATGAAATAAAGATGTTTATTGGATTATAATACCTAATTATGGAAAATTGTTGATATTGTTACGATAATAAATATTATGGCGTATAAAACTGTAAATATATTATGACTAATTATATTATGACTATAATATATTATGACTATACAACTGTATATGTGACTTTACAATATGTAAGTAGTTTGATACTTAAAATTGATCAGAATAAAGTTCTAGATTGACGTAAATCTAGGATTTTATTCTCCATTTTACTCAAAACAGTTTTACAGAATTATCAATACTGGGTTAACTTTTGAATTAATTACCGGCCCTTAGAGGTCAGCTAGGATTATCTGAGTTAGAATTACTTGTATATTTTTTACTCGGAATTGCTATAAGTAATATAGTGATAATAATAAACAGAATGACATTAAGTCAACAACACTCAACCTCTATCCTTTAATTTCAACTTAGGCGTAGTTTCCATTATTCGAGAATACATGTCATCCACAAAATCATCCTTGAAATGATTACTACTGTACAACTAGCGGGGGGTTATATCCCCTATTGTAAAAAATCTGGAGCTAGAGGGTGAGAAAATCTTCACTGTAAAACGCTGTCACCACTGTAACATCCTCGATATGAACCTTAAGGATGCTTGTCCCTGCGAGCGGATGCAAGGCTTACTGGTCCCAACTAGTCTGAACTGGCTGGTTCGCCTTCGTGGATTTACAAGAAGGTAGGGAAATCTGGGAAAAGAATTAAGGACTTCTAGGTCTCAGGTCCTGCAAAGAGTTTGAGTCTATGGGCTTACTTTAGAAGCCGAAAAAATGCATAAGCAGAAATTTTGTACTCTTCTGGTCTCTGCCTGAATCGGCCGGAAGGAACATAAAAACCAAATTTAGAGTCTACAAATGTATTGAATATACTATGTGGTTTACAATTAAGTTAACAAGCTGTCAGATATAATCAATAATAACTCGTTCGGCGCGAAGGGAGACGAGAAGAGATCTTAGCAAGAAAGTAAAGGGTTGACAATCTGTAGCATTATATATTAATTGGGTTAGTATATAGATTTTAGTTACCTTCACGTATTTAGGCTCTAGCTAATGATACGACGTTCAGTTCCTCTGGAAATCGGATTTCTTTTGTGGAGGTACCGCGCTCTGTTGCGATTTTCGAACTCCCAATACCCAACACTTATACGGAACTATATCCCGTCGAAATATAACAATCGCGCGTAATCCGCACCTGGTGTCGCCTCTCGTCTTGACAGCCCTGCCCGAAGATACTGACTGACTGGACGCTACCACCGGCAATTACTGCCTGGGCGGGCAGTCACGGTGCCCAGTTATTACTGATCGCATACTGGACGCTATCGCGTCCTAGCGCTCACGGAGCTGGCAATTAATGCGTTGAGCGCTCCCTCGATACTACTGCCTGGTTAACAAATTTTTTTAGTTTGTATGTCCCGCGAACATTCCTAGTTTATTTTGCTGATTTTGCTGTACTGTTCCACGTGTTGGAATGTAACAGGCGATGGCGTGTCGCTTCGTTGTATTAATTTTCACGAAGTAATTCTTAAACATTCGGGCTTGTGTCAATCTAGGTCAATTGTTATCTTTGTATAATTTAAAATGTATACGTTACTGTATTGAATTTATTCTGTATTTAATTTGGAATATATAATAATTATTTTGAATAATTATTATCTTCTCTATGCTACTTAGTCCTTATTTTTTCTATTCTTTATTTTCTTGCTATGTTTACATTACACTACATACTCTTGCAGTTTTTATATTTATTTTATCTTTTCTGCAATAGCGCATAACCCATATTTTTTTCTAATTTTGTATTTTTGGGAAACGTGAAAAATACTATTTGTTGATCAGAATTGACAGACTTCTTGTTTTTCTAAAAATTATTCTTACAAGTACCTAACTACACTACAACCTGTACCTAGCATTCCAAAATGTCATCAACATTATTATTACGTTAATAGACAATAAAATTTTAAAGTTTTAACCTACCTTATAAAAAGATATTCTTATTTAAGATACTCTACAATAGGTACGATGTACAACTACAATAAATAACTCTTCTTTCAAAAAATAAGTTTTTACAGAAAACAACACCAAATTTTCAAAAAATATAAAGTAAACAAAGATATTTAAGAAACGATAAATAATAAAGCAAATAATAACTGAAAGATAATTACCACGAACAAACTATGATAATAAATGGGTTTTGTATTCTTGTGTACTCTGTTGACGTAACTCAAGGATCCCCACCACAGTCGGAAAAGGCAACCGTAGTTAGACTACGAACCGTGACTATAACCTACGTTTTTCATCATCAAACTCTTGTATGTTTGTGAAGTTTCTCTTTTAGTTTTTACTTTGTGGCATTCAAACACAAAAATTTCAATTCAATAAAAATATGGTTTTTACTAATGAGGAATACGCTGATATACATTTAGTTTATTGCGAAATGAGGTGTAATGCTCGAGCAGTAAAGTAGATAAGCTTAAAAATTTCCCGGTTAAGAAAAACAAGTTCAGTGTTCCCAAAAAATAATAAAACAGAGCGAAATAATGATGTAACAGCACATCAAGATGTCACTTTAATGGATGTTTGGGAAAATTTAGAAATTAACCTTCGAAGACTACCTGTCATGTATCCCATAATTTCATAATCTTCTGCAAGAAATATCTTACACCGCGAAAATTTATATCCTTTCATTTTACAAAGGTACAAGCACTGATACAAGGAGATTTTCCTGCTTAAACAATTTTCAAATGGGTTTTTCTAGAAAACGGTGTATCCTACAGACTTAAAGTAAGGGTACCTTTTAGTATTAAAATATCTGAAAATTTAATAATCTAGTATTACGAATACTTAAAAGTTACAGATAAAAAAGTTATACGTTACAATAACCATTGACCTACCCAAAATGGATGCCTATGAACGGTACTAGAAATTCACAGTTAATGAAATCGATTCAACTCTGGAGAATAATCTTTTTTTCTAGTTTTCATTTTTTTTTTTAAATAGAAGCTCTAGATTCTTTTATCTTTATCTTTATCTGAGGAATCTGCGGTTTTCGTTTATCAGAAGAGTTTCTGGACACCCTGTATATATATATATATATATATATATATATACAGTATAGGTAAAAGTTTATGGTCGGTATGGACCTTACATGAGATGGAGTGAGAAACAACTGTTTAAAAAGAGACAGATATATTAGGTGTCCGCCTTTTATATCACCGAACATAAATGAGTGAATATGGAGTGGATATAATAAAAAGGGGAAATTCAACGTTGCCAAACTTATTGGTTTTATTTGACCTGTTGTTTTTTTCGCATTTGAACAATGCTCCAAGATAATGAAATTTGGGCGAAATGGATTTAAATGGCAGCTTATTGTTTTTTATTGGGAATATGCCACAATTTTACTTTACAATAAGTGTAATATAACATTTTGATTTATACTTCGGAAATCGTTTTATATAAATAAAATTTATTAATGTTTGGTATTTTAAAAACTATTTCCGAATTAAAAATCTAAACATCAAAATAAGCTTATTTTAAAGTGACATTATGCCTTATTTCCAATAAAAATATTAAACTGCGTATAAATAAAAAAGCTTCGTACAAAACTATTTGCCAACGTGGCGTGTCGCGTGGTCAAATCACCGAATCAAAGCGTAAACAGGTATTTACGAATAGAGGTGGGTCATTGACGTCGCAAAACCGATTTTCGTAAACAAGTAACTATGATTTTTTAATAGTAGTTTCAAGTAAGAAACTACCTACATAAACAAACATAATGGCTATTATCGTTTATCTGTATATTTATTGAAGTGAAGGAAACTAATAAAAGATTTTATTATAACTTGAAAACTAAACTAAACAATACAAATAGTAAATCGTACCTACGTTTACATTACACGTTATTATTAAATCACGAATCGTCTAAATTGACATTTAAAAACATAAGTTTTTTTACTTTATTTCTTATTAATTGTGTTTTTCTTTTATTTAAAATTAAACCTGATCTTGAACATGTATTCACATTTACAATACTTTATGAATACAGTGGTTAAGTTAGGAGATACATGGCGATGGTTTTTCCACCATTGTAATGGACTCTCGCTACAGGTGTACGTTTAGATGAGTCATGTCCAATTAATTGATCAAAAATACACCATGGACTTAAGTCATCTTTATCGGTTTCTTTTTCTTATACTGGTTGATTTTCAATAGTACCATCTTCTTGTTCTTTAATTATAGAAGTAACCCGCTTCTTAACTCTTTCT